TGCTTTGATATTATTAAAATTTTAGGTAGTGTAGACAAGATAATATGGTCGATACGCACATGAACACGCGTGCAATGCCTATTTTTTTAAATATATTTTGTATTTTTTTTTGGAAGACCTTGATTAAGTCTAAATTCCATAAAGTATTTCTTATTTAATAGAGATAACAGGGAATATGGCACCAAAAGGGAGTTGGGGAGCGTTTGGGGAACATCTGTAACGGTCCCCGTTACAATTAGCACTAGTTTAACGTATTTTCGAATACTTTTTGATTAAATGCCTTGATATTAAGTACATTAAATAAATCAATAGTGTAGATACAATGATATTGTCATTCCGCATATGCATGCAAATGTGCGCACGTACAATGCAAAAATTTGCTATATACTTGGTATACTTTAGGAAAAACGTTGTTTAAGTTTAAGATGCCTAGAGTTTAGTTTATTTTATGAAGCTAAGAGGGAATGAGGCACCAAAATGAAGTTGGGGGAGCGTTTGGAGAACAACTGTAACGGTTCCCGTTACAATTAGCACTAGTTACTGTATTAGATTAAGAGCCTACATCAGAAATGACAACTTCACGCCAGCGTCCATCAAACTACCTGAGCCTTCTGTGGTGGACTGGCCCACATCAGGATTTAAGCAGCTTCAAAAGGACCACCATCTTATCCTTCCTAAAATATCCAAGGAGCAGATAGAGGCCTACTTCATTTACAGAATGGCTGGTATAATGGATTAGCTTGCATAAATATAGAATCTCTCATGGTTTATGGTTGGATATGGTTGGATATTAATTTTATTCAACTAGATAACATTTTCTTTTCTTAAGCCTTGAAAAAGGGATAAAAAAAATCACACATCAAATTTTGATAAAAAATCACACATCTTACCACAAATCAATGGGAAATTCTTTATATAGTATGTTAGAATAAAAGAGTAAAACATGACATAATCTTTGTAAATACAATTTCATTTTTTTTAAATAAGAAAAAATTAAATGATATGGATTTTTTCTCTCAATTAAATGAAAGTAAACGATACAGTGATACAATAGAGTTCCTGGAATTCAGAAATATCATTCAACTTAAAATACATGTACTTCGTTACTTTCATTCAGATGACAGACAAGCACGGAATGATTTAAAGTCTATAACAAAAGGACAACTGATGTATGAAAGTGACAGAGTACTGGCATGCTCCATACTTATTCATGATAACATATACCTAAGTGGCATTGTAGGAGCAGCAATGAAGAAAAAGGTTATATATTTTTTAATCAAGTACGACTGAAATTATTTCAACATGACAAAGTGAGCATTAGTGCTCTTCATGTTATTTATTTCAATTTCATAATGATTCAGTTTTAGTTGTTAACACCTCATTTAATTGAATGAATATAAATCATATAACCTGGATTGCCTACGTCAAAAACGTATTAGTCCAATTGATGTTTCACTTAAAATACAGCAATTTTGAACATGTTGAAGGAACAATCATTTTATTTTCTAAATTTAATAACTGGAAAATTAAATTACAAGGAATGAACTAAACAACTACCTAAGTTATACTGGTTTGCATATAACCTGAGTTTGAAGAGTTTATGTTTTTTTAATAAACTGCTTTGTAGTTTGTAAATCAAAGTGTAAACTGCCCCAACACAGGTTATACCAGTATAACTTTAGTAGCTATTAAATTCATTCCTTACATAATATTTATTGCTACAGGTATCCTACATATACAAGATAAAACTAGACAAAAAGTCTGGAGATCCTGTAAACACACACTGTGAGTGTCCAGCAGGGAAGGGGCCTCATGGAACTGCAAACACATTGCTGCAGTCCTCCTGATGATATAAGAGTTTACAGAATCAGGAGAACTCAGACTAGGGAAGTCGTGCACTGATACTTTAATGATGTTTACAAAACCAAAATCCTCCTATGATGGTAATTTATTATTCCTTTAAATAATTCAGTAAATTCTGGATATTGTAACTTGTAAGTTTCTTTGATACTGTATAATTTAACCCATCAGTTTTAAAACATTTTTGTTCATTTCACAGTAGTGCAATTTGTTTATTTTTTTGTGTGCTTTCAAGGATCTCCAGTCAAAGCTGAAAACCTTCCAACAAAGAGAAAGTTAGCTGCAGACTTCCTCAGTGACCCAAGGCCAGAGAAAAGAAGAAACTGTCCTGGATACAACGACTATGTAAAATCTATAGTTACCAATTATTGCAGCCAGTCCTCAAATGATATCTCATTCCGATACATGTATGGGAAGGCAAATATTCAGGTATATTTATTTGAATGAAATAAGAAATTAATTACATTCTGGTGAAGTTGTATTTTTTAACAGTGTACAAGTAATTAATATGACAAAAAAAAATTTTCAAGGCTGCTGTCAAAGACCACGACTATTGCCAATTGCCTTTTACTGAGCACTGGGTTGATAATTCCATTAAGGTGCATGTGATAGATTTTGTTAAAATGAATCTAACTCTTATGATTTTTAGTTGTTTATCAATTAATGCTAATTTTACACATATATAGTTACAGAATCTGATGTAGTAAGGATTGAAGAGTCCACAAGACAACAGAGTGCAAGCCAGATTTGGTTTATCGAGAGGAAGTGGCGCCTTACGGCATCAAAGTTTGGGGAAATATGCAAGGCCACTTCTCGTCGAAATACCAAGAAGCTGTGTGCTGCATTATTGTCTGATGTTCAAATCAACAGTGAAGCTTTGCGGTATGGAAAAAATTAAGAGGCAAAAGCTTTGAAAGTATTCAACAGCAAATTTAATGTAAATGCTAAGAAATATGGGTTTTTTGTTTGTTTAGACAAGCCTTTTTTAGGTGCTTCTCCTGTACCGAGTTTTACTAAAGGTCGTAAATTTTGCCGTAGACGTAGACGTAAACGTAGACTTTACGACTGAATTTACGTGTGCGTAGATAGCGTTTTACTAAAGGTCGTATCTGCGCCTGTAACGTAGCACTACACGTAAAGATTCTCGTAACTTACGACAGGAACTCTTCAGAAGGAAAGGCAAATAAACTATCCTAGTAACGAAAGCTGCGCATGCGTATTAGCTACTTTCAATATATTGCGAGTCGTCTGCAAATCATTTTGGTGATATTTGTATAAAAAGAAACAACCAAAACAAAGTAACGTTAGGCCTAATGGATAAAATTAAAATAAGAAAACCTAACTGGAGTGAGATTGAGCTGGAGGTGCTAATAGAGGCTTACTGTAGAAATTTTAAGGTTATTCGGGGCAAATTCTCGCCTGCTATAACATCGGATACAAAGAAAAGGGCTTGGGAAGAGATAACAGAAAGGTTAGTTTTTATTTTTATTTATTCATTCAGGCCCGGGACTCCAATCCAATATTTATTTTTTACATTTATCTGATTCCGTACGTTAAATTTGCAACCATAAAGAAATAAATCTATAGGCCTAAACGTCATGATGAAGTTCTTAAATTGCTTGAAAAATATTCAAAGGACACTTTTGTGATTTAAGAATTAGATATGTCTATATCTATCATAGGCGTCGGAACCGGGGGGGGGGGGGGGGGGGGGAAGGGGGGGTGGCCCCCCCCCCCCCTTTTTTTCCAAATATATACTTAGCATTGACTTAGCCCCCCACTTTTTTCCAAATGTATACTTGTATAGAACATTGCTTCGTAGGTTTAGACGCCAATGTCTATTATGTATGCATTAGACCTAATACTTATAACCACGTAAAAATGTATTCATTAACTGAGCAAGTCGTCTCCGGAGAATGTAACTTATACGCGAATCGGTGTTCTAAATCTTATCAATATTAATATAGATACATGTTATGGATGTAAGCGAATAAGATATTTATCAATTTATATAAAGATATCTCTAAGATTTTATAGTATTATATTTTTTCTCAATACGAGTTAATGTACTGTGATTTTCCGCCACAATTTGGCCTATAGATCCGCATATTCGTTTCAAATACAAAGCGAAAGTAGAAAAAAAATAATGACGATACTCGATAGACGGTAGTGAATCGAAGATGAACTCATGAAGATAATTCCATGTGTACATGTATGATATCTTTTGTACCCATTTAGCAGTGTTTATTATATTATCATAATAATGATGAGCAATAGTAAAATGTTTTTACATATATTTTTATAATAAAAAACAGAGTGAATGCTGTAGCAGTATCATGCAACAGATCACTAGATGAAACAAAAAAGAAAATACAGGATAGTTTGTCCAGTGTGAAAAAGAAGGAGGCTTTCCGGAAGAGAGAAGCATCAAAAACAGGTGGTGGACCCTGTACAGAAATAATTTTTAAGCCATGGGAGGTGTCTGTGAGTATTTGGTAGTGGGTTAAAAGTTACAAAAACATTTTAAAGTTAAAGTAAAGTGAGTAAATAAAAATTATATTTAATCATACATACACAAGGTGATAAAGCGATTGAGAGGTTCTGAGAAAGTATATTGGAATTCTTTTTTCTAGTGATGTTTTTTTTTATTATATCAAAAAAGTAATATTGTAGTCACTTCATTATTGTCATGATTATTTATATGTTTTGTATGCAAACAAATTAAAGCTTACATATTTATATGTACTTTGAATCTTTAGCTTCTTGGTACTATTCCAACAGAGATGATACATGGATTAGAAGGGGCAGTGGATACTAAATCAGATGCAGATCAAGGTAATCCCACATAACGTACTTTAGTATACACACATGTACAAATGGAAATCACTGTAGGATTTGATATTTTAGGATTTTAAAGGTAAGGCCACACCAATTTAATTTTTTGTTTGTTTCATTTGATAAAGAAAGTACGAGCGGGCTAGCGGTTAAATAATAATATTATTACTTTTTTGTAGGCAAGATTTTTAGGTGGGGCATGAAAAAATTTGAGCGGACAATTGTATTTTTTCTGATTTGCAGAGTAAGTAGATTAAAAGTACGATAAATAGAGCGGGAATATACAAAAAACAGCACAGAATTCCCATGGTGCGGGGATTTTAAATGAATATTATTTGTATAATTTTGTTTAATACAAGCATGCGGGTCCGATAAACATTTTTTTTTATTGGTGTGGCCTAATGACTGAATCTTAGCTGCAGAACTGTAGCTCTCAATCTGCTTGAGAAAATTTGGACACATAAAGTAGAGAGCTACAGATCCAAGGCAAGCGTTATAAAAACCTTCCATTTTATACGCTGATGATTATTTGTCGCTACTGTAGGCATTTATTTCGTGTAGTTTAATCTTTCTCTGACTATTAGATTGGTATCCTATAATTAATCATATATTTAACTATTACCCTTGATACTTTATATACTTTTTAGCGGTCTTAAACATATGCAAGCAAAATATCCGAAGTGAGCAACTAAGCTTCAGCGATAATCGAAGGATTTTACAATGCTTGGATCTGTAGCTCTATGCTTAATCTGTCCAAATTTTCTCAAGCAGAGAAATACACTTCTGCAGCTACATGAATCTCAGACATTTACTTTTCATAAATTAAATGCATATACAAAGAACTTTATATGTATGATAAAATTGCTTTATGATTGGAAATCTAGCTGTAAAATTTTGTAAGCATGATACATGTACTGATTTATACTCTTTTTTTATATCTGATGAACAGGTCAAACAAAGGGGAAATTGGATTTGAATTGTGATTTGAATTGTCCAGGAGCAACTGGAGATTGCAGTGCAACATCTAACAATGTTTCAGGTCAAAGGAATATATATTAATACATTTTGTTTATGGTAATCTGGTTTAGTCATTGAGTTAATTTTATAATCAAAATTCACATTTTTTGAGCCCCCTTCATGAAATTCCCCTTTCCGTCTATCATTATGATGGTCTGTTATTCCTTCATTGCTGTAGCTTACCTCAAACTTTTTAAGCAAATTAAATGTGGAGTGTAAATATATTTCAACTAGTATACTTTGGAAAATATTCATCATTTAAGAAAAAAATTAAAATTTAATTGGAATTATTCTTACATATGAAAGACATTTTCTTTTATTTTATTTACATACACTGTATGTGCTATCTAATATCATCAAGATTTTTAAATTTTAGAATGTGTGGTTGACATACATGTAACTTCTGAAGAGCCCTCAATTCCATGTACTGGTATGTATGCATCTATACTTGATATCTGACACTTTTCATTCATTATTCATAGCTCACCTGAGCAGAAAGCTCAAGTGAGCTTTTCTGATCACATTTTGTCGCTGCCAAAATCATCGAATATTTGTTGACGTTACCAAATCGAATAAGTCTAGAGTTGTTCCAAATCTGACCTCTGACGTGACCCTCTATGGGATGTTGTTAGATGTTAGTGTAGCAAGTATGCAAGCCGATCTAACATCTAATTTTAATTAGATTGGGGCCATAGTGGCCGGTCAAAGTTTTACATACAAACATATAGGGAATTTTTTTTCAATTCGTCTTTTTAAGAATAGCAAATGCATGAAGGATCTTATTTATATGGAAACATCCTCAGGTAACGTAGATTCAGTGTTGTTCAAATCATGACCCATTAATCTTTGACCTTCATGTTTGACCTAATTTTCAAAATTTTTCACCTTGATGATTAATTTTGGTGGTTTTAGCACCACCCCTCTGGCCCCAGGAGGGACGAAAACAGATAGCAATAGGTCACCAAACTTTACTCAGGTGTCCTAAAAATTTTAGCTTTAAATTTAAATGATGGAAATGCTTTTAAGCAATGTATTCTTTTGTCATTAGTGTTACTTGGATGTTTTCTTTTAAGATAAAAAATTTACCAAATGTCTTTTACATCTGTTTTCATAAATTTACATTTCAGCTTTGCCATCACAAACGTGCAAGAGTAAAAAGAGTCTGGAACCAGTAGGAAAAATGAGGACTGGAGAATATGGTAACAGTTAAAAGAATTTCCATCATTAATAAAAACAAGACATCAAAATTCAACCTTGTGAAATTTCTATCTAGTTAAGTTCATGACAAATGGTTTCTGAAGAAAAATTCAAGGTAGATTTAAAACATGCATGTGTAGAGAATGATATTCAAATGGTCAACTTTTAATAACCTCCAAGGAAATGACATTGTAAGCTAAGGAATTTGCAGTCTCGAGAAGTCTCAATTTATTGAGTTTCAACCGGTAAACTTTTTTCGTACTGACATCAATCTAATGGATTTATTGAAACGTTTTTCCACCAGCTGAACTTTTTTTCAACATGCCCTTTTTTGCAGGTAATGAGATGAAAGAACTTGTTGAATTGAAAAAGAGAAGGTTGGATGTTGAGGAAAGGAAGGCTTAGGCACTGGAGAGAATTGTAACAATATTATAGGGATGGCAGAATTTAGACTCTGGACTGTCAGTTCCTCCAGTTATTGAATTTTAGCTTAAAATGAACTTCATTTGATTACACTCTGTATATTTTGTCTGAATAGATAAATACTTCTCTGTAAAAAAATGCTTAAAAATTTAATATATGGTTACACTGTATTTCTCTTCTAGGGTAACAGATAGTAATATATAAAATTATAAGATTATAGATAGTATTCATATATTATTTATTGTTACTACAATTTATTAAAAAATAAATTACGAAATCAAAATACAACCTTACAGGTTCTTCATTATTTCAGCTTGTCCTCCTATCTACAAAATAAAAATATATTTAATTAAATATTGCGTATGAAATGAAAGTTACTGAAATTGAAAAAAAGTCTATGGCAAATGAATTTTCCTCTAATAGGTATGAATTTAAACTAATTACAGTTTTCGCAAATACCTATGACATCATAGGAGGGTGAAATTACCTTAAATTTGCTTAAAATCTTGATGCAATGTGTTGTCTCAGGTCTCTGGCTGACCGCGGAGGTGCTCCTCCATGAACATACATGTGTTGTTGTAAAACAACACGACCACCTTGTTGGAGGGGGATTCTCTCTTCAATTGCCTTGTTGTGGAGCCGGCAACATGTCTCGATGATAATTGCACATTTGGTTGGTTTGAAAGGCAAACATCCTCCACTTTTGTGAAGACATCTGCAAAATTTGCATGATTTGATTAATCAAATCCTCAGTGTCCTAATTATGAAGGCTGATTTATGATATCAGTATGTTTTACATGTATATACATGTATTGTTCAATGTTCATAATGTTCAGTAGATGATGACCATGAGCACTCATGTAAACTTATGATACCTGTACAACTTTTTTGTTACAAATCATACTTAATAGAAAATAATTATGATGTTTTGAAATCATATCACATGCCTGAATCTGGATTTGAGCACGCCAAATGCCCTCTCTACAACATTTCTGGTCTGGCAGTGAGCACGATTATATCTTTCCTCCGTTGGAGTTGAAGGGTTATTGAAGGGTGTCATAAGAAAATCTTTCAACGGATAACCAGAGTCACCCAGCAGCCAACCACCCTCTGGCAAATTAGCCATGATGTCCGGAATGGTGGAGTTTGACATGATGTATGCATCATGCGCACTGCCTGGGAATCGGCAATTGATGTTGAGAAATCTAAAATAAAAGTATAATCATTATGACATTGTGTGATCGTAAAGAAAATTCAGCAAGAAGAGAAACAAAATGTTCTCCATTTTAAAGGTACTTAGACACAGATTTGAAGTTAATATTTTCTCATTTTTTCTGTATAATATCACGAATTATATATTTTGATAGCATTTCACACAAAAATTGATTAAAAATCTTATTTCGATTAAAAGTTATTAAAACTTTAAATTTTTTGGCGGGTTTGATTGACACATCTTTGCACTTTCACAAATTTTAACTTTATTCTTAATCCTTAGGAAAAGTGGTAATTTTGATGTGTTTTAATGAGAAATATTAAAACTTTTATCAATAAAAATATTTTTTTCAGAGTAGAAATGTTAGAAAGCAAAACACCTTCACAAGTATCGTCATTCCGAACTAAGAGATGCGTGCAGAGTTTAGCAAATCGAGCACACTCGTGTTATGTACACAGTTTTTGTAAACAGGGCTCGAGTTCTGTTATTGTTTATATTTAGAATTCACCGGGTGCGTTCAATCGTCACAGTCTGCTTACCACAACTGCACGGACTGACAATATATTGTGGGTTTCTTTTGCTTTCGAACGTGTCTACTCTGAATTTTCTGGATTAAAGTATTAATATTTTACATTTATACAAAACGAGATTGCCACTTTTCCTAAGGATTAAGAATAAAATTAAATTTGTGAGAGTGCAACGATATGTCAATCAAACCCGCCGAAAAATTTGAAATTTCAATATCTTTTAAACGAAATAAGATTTTTATTAAAATATATAAGTCGTAATGTTATAAAGAAAATAATAACTTCAAATCTGTGTCCAAGTACCTTTAAAGTATGTTATAACTTTTGTAAGTGGACTGCATTGTACAAATTTGCAAAAAATATTTGAGCAGACCTCATCTCTGCGTCAACAACCCCTTGGATATTAAGGGCATGAAAGTTTTTTCTCGATACATATATGTGTTCATCCTCGGTACTCATCCCTTTGATGGGGATAAGGGTCCCGTCAATGGCCTCTACCACGTTGGGGAAACGGGCGATGTTGTGGAATTCGTCTTTTATTTTCCTTAAAGAGTGCACTGAAGATGGGAATTTAATGTTCTGCAAGTGCTCACAAAGGGCTTGGCACACCCTTGGTAAACATACTGAAACGGACGATTTGGAAACTCCGTGAACATCTCCAACTTCCGAAAAGAAATCAGCTTTTGCAATGTAACGCAACGTACATAGGACCTGAAAAGGAACAATGAGAATATTTTTTTTTTAAATTACAGGTCACACTTTTCATCATATACGAAGTTAAAAGCTTCTGTTTTTTGGAGGATAGTTAGAACTCGGTTTATGTAACTTTTAAATTATGTTTTCATTCTTATGTAAATTATGAAATTGTGTTGATAAAATAAAGTTATATAACCATATTAAATTAAAAAAACTATTTAAAGCGTCTGTGTTAATTGAATTTTCAATTTTGTTGAATTAATTATTTTCCCGCTAAAACTCTATTACGAGCTCGAGTTTGGCGCAGAAGACTGGTGCACTGAAAAAAAAAACTAGTAAATTTACTGGTCATACAACCACTGCCTTTTAAGTAGTTTTACTAGGTATTTACTAGGTATTGAGTATTGACTATTTTAAATACGAACTAAGGAGAAATAATTTAGATATTTCAATTCAAGATTGGTTATATATTACCCGGTATTTGGGGAACACGAACACATGTACATGTATAACTAATGTATTGTGTTTTGATTTTTTGCAGGACTGTATGTACATGTAGGCATGAATTACATGTTTATCCTTTTATTTAATATGATATACAATTATAAATATCATATGGACGATGAATACTACATATACCTGTCATTGGCGTTGGAAGCAAATTAAAAGGAGGGGGGGGGGCTAAGTGTAAGAAAAAAAAATTAGCCCTAAAAAAACCATGAAAAAAGGAAATGTCCTTTGCCCGAACACGGAATTATCTTTTGTGTCGTGTGTGTGAGGGTGTGTGGGGGGGGGGGGGTATATTACTTTAAGATAATATTCACAGTCGAGGTTTACATGTGAAATAGAAAAAAAATATGTACATTCGAGAGCCCCCCCCCAAAAAAAAACAAAAAAAAAACAAAAAACCAAGTAATATGATCTTAACTTCAATGTAGTTTAATTTTTGTGCTAGGGTTGTGAGCTTCCACTTTACCCTCCATCCGACCCCTATCAAAATGTTTGCCGTTTTCGTACATTTCGACTCCGTCAAAAAATAATAATTCAAAATACTGGAACCACTTAGTTTAGGTTGTCTGAGCATTTAACAAAATTAATGTAACCGAAAATTAAAAAAACAAACACCACATAGTACTTAACAAGATATGTGTACGTCACTACATGTATGTGTTGTGTATGAATAAATGCTCTTTCTAAAAGAATTTTGTTTACCCCCCAAAACACACAACAAACAAACAGGAGTTTTATTTATACCTTAATTTTTAACACCATAAAGAACTGTTTTCTTTCTTCATGATTTCCTTTAAGTACATACTGTAGGGTAACAAAATTAAGATATTTACAAGTATAATTTTATTATCTGTCTACTTTTACCGGATTCTTATTTTCCTGACCTAACGGTTTATCGTTTAGAAACTCCCGTTGCCATAGGATGTGACACGGATACTTTCAGTTTCAATGTTTATATTACCTGCAGCTGAGTGGGGATGGCATGTGATCTTTCTGTATATGGCCGAAGTTGCTCATCTACCCCATCGATCAAATCGAAAATTATCCTTCGAGGGAAACGGTACCTAGAAATGAGCTCCGAGTCGTCGAAAGAATCCAATGGCTGGCTTCTATCTCGGAAAACACGCTGTTTGCGCAAAGAACGCTGCATAAATAATATAGTCGCCATTTTTATTTAGAAGTTGAAAACGCTAAGTGATTTCTTACGGCTGCTATGGAGCAGACGTAGATTTTCACGTAAATCTACGTCAAATCGTAAGATACGATCTTTAGTAAAACGCAAAATCGACGTAAGTTACGTCTACGTCTACGTTTACGCCTACGTTTTAACTTACGACCTTTAGTAAAACTGGCTACTGATGCTATTGTTGATGGAAGTAGTATTGTTGAAATTAATACTGTCCATAATAATAATTGTCCATTTAATGGCAGAAATGATGTTGTGAAACCAGGGAAAAATTTCAAATTTTTGAAATATGATGATGAGGGTAAAATTGTTTTGAAGACTTCAAGCAAATATTATGACCAGATACAAGGCCAGCTTTATGTAACTAAAAGGTCTCTGTGCTACTTTGTTGTATATACCTTAAGCGATTTGTTTGTACAGAAAATCTTGTTTGACGATGAATACTGTAACAATTGTCTCCTTCCTAAGCTAGAAACTTTTTACAAAACGTTTTTCAGAAGCTATGTTGCATCACTGTTTTAAAAGGAAATGTTATTTGTATTGCATTGCACAGAACTATCTTTCAGGAGTCCATTTGCCATTCAAAGTGGTCAATGGTCAAGATACTTATAAAAATAATTAAGAAAT